CTTAGTCTCCTCTTTATCTCTTCTTCCACTGTCTCCCCAGAGTTCATGGTCCCAAAGTTATGATTTATTCCCACCCACCCCCAATCCCTGTCTCATTTTCATGCTTTTCAGTTGACTACACCCTTAAGTCCCACCCTCCATTTCCAGCTCTGTTATCTCTCCTGAGCACTGGTCCTGTATCTCCACCTGCCCTATACATAAGCCTCCCAGTACATAAACTTAATCATGTTTGACTTCCTCTTCACTCTCCAATCTGGCCCCTTCTCCTGAATACCCTATCTCAGTTCATGACATCACCATTCACCCAAAAATCTAAGTTAAAAAAAAATTGATTCATGTATAATCCACAGTGTCATAAAAGTATTACTTAGAAACACAGAAATGAGCACATTTCACTTGCAAGTAAAGACTTCCGTTGCCTATTTTCCATTCGCAGAGGCTAATGCTGCTTTCTCTTCAGCATGGGGGATCACACCCAAGGGGACTCCAACCCTTTTAGTTCACCATCTCCTCCCATATCCCTGGACTCCCTACGCTTGAGTCACACTCAACCCTTTGTAGGGAGATTCTTTCACACAGCTGGCCTTGCATGTGCAACTGACTGCTTCTGCCGAGAGCAGTGGTTTTCAACTTGTGTGCCACACGTACTTTTAAGACATGCAATACCTGACCATTTAGTCAGTGGCACTGACCCCTTTTCCCTTAAATTGTCAAATAAAAAAATGATAACAGCCAACACAAAAGTATCCATCTAGTGTGAATGAATCAAAAGTATACCTATTTTTTGTCAGATCAGCAAAAAAATATATTTTATGGTGTGTCGCAGAATATTAGTAATTACTGTATGTGTGCCATGCAACGTAAAAGGTTGAAGATTGCTGGCCTAGAGCAATGATTCTCAGCAGGTGTCAATTTTGTCCCTATGAGACATTTGGCAATGACTTGGAGACATTTTTTGATTGTCCCAACTGGGGAAGGGGGGTGCTCCAGTGGGTAGAGGCCAGAGGTGCTGCTACACATCCTAAAAGGCACAGACCAACCCCATACAACAAAAAGTAACCGCCCTACATGTCAACAGTGCTGAGACTGATCATATCCTCCTTGATTTCTCTGCCTGGGGAACTCCAACTCATCTACTAAGACTCAGCTCAAAGGTCACCTCCTCTGCAAAGCCTTCTACCAACCAGGTCCTCTTCTCCAGACAAACACCGTTGCATCTTTCTCACTTTCTCATACACGCCTCTATTTCAGTACATCGCACATTACACTGAAAAAAATTTTTTTTTACCAGTGTGTCTCTATTACTAGAACGGGAGCTCCTGAAATAGAGACTACACTTTATTATCTTTTATTCCCAGTGCTTAGGTCAGTGCCTGGTAAATAGTAGGGACTCAAATGTGTGCTAAATGGATGAATTAAAGAAGATACATCTACAGAGAAAGTAAAAGTATTTTTGAAGCAAACAATTCAACTCCTTGACTCACTCTGAAATTAGTATTATAATATTTCTCAGTTCTAAGAAATATACAAGCATAAATTTCTCACTAAATTTCCAAAACTGGTCATTAACAATGTGGCATCACAGTTTGAGAGTCAATATTTATAAACTATATTGGGGTTTTTAAATTGATTTTTTTAGAGAGAGAGGAAAGCAGAGGGGAGGAAGAGAGTAAAGGCGGGGGGGGGGGCAGGGGAGAGGGAAGAGGGAGAAAGAGAGAAACATTGATACATCGATCAGCTGCCTCCTGCACTTCCCCACCAGAGAAGGAGCCCACAGCCCAGACATGTGACCTGACCAGGAATCGAACCAGCAACACTTTGGTGCACAGTACAATACTTTAACGAACTGAGCCACACCGGCCAGAGCAAAACTACATTGGTTTTTATAGGAAAGATTAAGTGTTGTTCAAAATAAATTTAACGAAATGTCTCTAAATATGCTGCTAAAGTTAATAAAATGAAAACCAAGAAAATAATGGAACACTAAAATAAGTATATATTTAATACATTTATTTTAGGAAGAGCAACTAAATTATTGAAACTTATAATCTTGAGATTAGTGTTAAAGGCTTTTGAAACCACTGAGACATAGTCTTACTATACTACGCTTCAGCAATGTACCTACCCAGGATTAAGTAACAGAAAATAAACAAAAAAGTTTCATAACAAAAAGAAAAAATGTAAAGCCAAACTTTCTGATAAAAACATGCATATAGTGAAGAATGGAATAAATATTTAACTTTGGGGAAAATGCTAAGGTATTTTAAATGATAAGGTAATGAAAACTCTGAGTATCCTCACACAACATATGAGATTTAGAAAACAACAGATAGAGAAAAATAAAATGATAATGAGTAAACTAACTATTACACAGATTTTAGAAATATGAATAATTTCTATAACTGGATAAAAACTACCTTAGTTCCTTGATTTACTTCTTGATAGACCTGACAAAATATTACATACAATGTTAAGACATCAAATACCTACTTTCAGATCAAAAGCCATTACAAAAGTAATATTGTTTTTCAAAAAGTGCATGTAGTAAACATGTCAGTTATTGGTATAGTCTTTGATAGCAAATAAATAAAATAAACACCATCATGCAGACTACAAGGCTCATCTTCACTCTAAGTTGTAAACACAGAACAGAGCCCTGTCGTAGATACAGGTAAAAGGTGTCACTCAATTTAAAAAAGTAGCCATTAAATGGGCTGCTGATTATAGAGGGCTAGAAAATGGATCCTATGCTGCTAGAGACTAACACATAAGAAAAGAATATGTAGTCCTCTAGTGCTTTAGAATCAAGGGTCCCTGACCAAAGCAGTGATTTAATTTCACGGCTGCTCGGTACAGATAGCTGACATTACTAAATGCTACTCTAATATCAACTTGTTAAATGTGAATCCAGACTCAGCATATCAGAACACTAACCCAGACTAACTGGAGTCATGGGAAATATTTTGGGAGCTGTTTATTTATAAATGAGTTACAATATACCACTATAATTAGATTAATATATAATTATTGATAAACATGGGATTATTCCTAAAATCCCATTATTGTTGCCACTGCTATGTTTAGAAAAAACATTAGTACTTTCCTCTTAAAACAAGCCCTTGACTTACCATCAAACATTTAGATCAATTTCAATCTAGTATATGTTGGATTTAGTGGTCACTATATTGTTTATACTTTTATAAAGAGTTGTTTAATAAACACTTAAAAAGAGAACAATTTCAAGCTCTCTGGAAAATTACACCTTTTGAACTATTTTATAATCCAATAATCTACCCAAAAAATAGAATCTGCACAAAGCTAGGCATTTGGCTGTCACAAAAAAAAATATTTGTAAGCTTACTAAGTTAAATAAAACCAATAAAAGTGCATATTTTTAGCCATGCAAAAGTATTTAGTCACACTTTATTAAAAATATTAAAAATACTATTTTCAAAAGCATAAACAACAACAAACGATACCACTGCCACAAAATCAACTATTTTAAGGATATTTCTATAAGTATTTCTAGGTTAATTATTCCTTGCAGATTAATTATTTCACAAAAAGTAAAATAAATTTACAAAGTACATGTAAATTCAATTAGCAAACTCTTAATATATGTTTCTTCATTGTATCACTGCATTGCTTTCTTTTAGGGGGCAAAACAGTTAAGTAGACTATCATCTCCTAAAAGCTGATTTTTAAACAGTTTTGTAAACAGAATTAACAATTCTAAAAAATAGATCAGAATATGAAATCTGACCTTTTTCATCTTCAGTAAAGTAGTTGCTGATATTAACATCTGAAGCATTGGGTAACAGTGATTATATTTACCAGATTTCAAAAGAGAAAACAAACTAGCAATTACTGAATATTTTTTTTACTTTAAGCTACTTATCCAGAAGTTTTTTTTAATCGTTAATATAGATACTGAGTGTTATATAAACACAAATAAACTGATAAGTTTCCACTCCTCCTCCCCCCGCCAAAAAAAAAAATTGTTTTGTACTGTAATCAAGAATTGCTTTAGTCAGAATATTTTTTTAATTTTCCGGTATTAAAAAAGTTTTAATATCCTGGCCAGACCTTCCAAACACAAAAATGTTTTAAATCTATTTAAGGTCCAAACACTTAAGATACTTTGGAAAGGCCACATTACATAAAGAAATGTTTTGGTTGAGATTCATTAGAGTAAAATTACTAATAAAATAAAGCAAAATTATCAAAATAACAATTAATAAGGTTACTAGAAAATTATGGGAAATATTTAGCAATTGAAACCAAATTCAATTTATAAAATTTAAATTTTAATATTGTTGAAAGAGTAAGTTACATTCTAGAAGGCAGTCTTAACTGGTAACTAAAGAAAAATAGGGTGGAAACAAAATCCCTGTGGTTAAGGGTATATACAAATGAAAATGCCATTTATTTTTCCTCTGCTTCAAATGTGAACATAATAGTTTTTAACAAAGATCTAATAAATTCATATTAAAAAAACAGTTTTCTCCATGTTCATTTATAACAAGATTTTCACATAGGTTTTAAAAAATATATATTTTAAATATGCATTCTACATTTTACTTTTTCTTTACAATGATTAAGGAGGGACGAGTACTAAATAAGCATTTTGAAAATTGGAATAAAAAATGAAGTTAGACATTAAAATATGATGCCACTTGAGGGGAGGGAAAAGTAAATATATCAAGGTAAAGTGTTATTATTTAAAGCTTGTTTTTATGCTACAGAAATGTTTTATGGCCTAAATCACTTTGGAAAGTTTTTTTTTAATGAATATTTTCTACATTGGTAAAATAAATAGAGTGACAAATTATACGAGGTTCTTTAGATTTACAAATATAAAGTTCATTACTACAAAAATATTTGCTAGCAAAGGACCAGGAAAGTATATAAAACTGTTTAGTTATAATAAATTTTAACCAACTATTTCCTAAAGTTATTCTAATATAAATTAACATTTACCAAGACCATGGGAAACTTACCTTACAAGAATGCTTCGAAGATTTAGATAGTTCATTTGTGAAACGTCTGCTGCTGTCACTTGGTAAATTATCAACTTTACCTTCATTTCCAGATGCAAACTTTATGAGTAATTGAGATGGTCCCCCTTTAGAACAACTGTGCTTAAGGCTGGATAAACAGGAAACATTTGGGTAAGTTCCTCCTAATGAAATACTTCTTTGTAGAATAGCATGGTTTTTGTTTATCTGTAAATTTGGTCTTTCCAACTGCCCATTGCTATTTCTTTGGTAATCTACATTTGGGAAGGATGGTAAACACGCAGATGTCCTACCCGTAAGCTTCATATAGTCTGGGTCAGAATTAAACTTGGTTTCTGACATCTCCGGGTTACAATCACCATTCGCAGCTTCACAATCTAACGTGGCTGCTTTCTGTTGGGTGAAATGCACTGAGACACACGAATATCCTTCCGATGGTTTTTCAAAGACAGTCTGATTTGGACTATTATTTGCAATAACCATTTTCTTTTGTGACGAGCCCTTCCCGTGAAGCGGTCGTATGTCTCTTACTTCTCCGGGAGGACAGGTGGTTTTCGATAGCCGAAGCCCATTGACGGCTGTGGAGAGAAATCCCTTAGCACCAGTGCCATCTTCACTGTGAGCAATTTCACCGGGAGAAATAATAAACTGGTGTGAGGTTTGATAGGATCCTTTGCTTGGATGGGTACCCGTACTTGTTGGAGACGTTGGCGGCGTACTTGAAAGACTCCGAGGAAAAATGACTAAGGATGAACAACGTTTTAGTGGAATTTTCGAGTCTTTGCCCACTGACAATGTCATAATCTCGAGCCCATGCTCCAAGTCATCCTCGACAAAAGGAACGGTGCTTGTACTTCTGGAGAAAATTTCACACGGAGTGATATTCCTGTGGGGCACACTTCTACTGGAGGTGTTGTCCGAAGATGAATTTCCACCAAAAGACGTCTCATCCGTTGGCGGGAAAGTGTACCCACTGCTGTCGCTGACGAGACTGTTGGTGTAGGAGCCTCCGCTTGTGATGCTGGTGCATGACCCGTAATCACTGCCGTTGCTGTTGTAAGACCCATGTTCACTGGTCGAAAAGTTACTCAGGCTACCGCGGCAAATGGCAGGACTGCTCAAAAAGCTATCATCATTCACAGCATTCAGTTCATTCTCAGCCACAGCGCTGCTGGAAACGCCGTCCCTCAAGACACAGGCAAACGGAGCATCCTCCCCATCGGCCACGGCACTGCTGGACTGAAGACAGCTCCCGTACCTGGTTGGCTGCAGTGAGATCTGGAGGCAGCTGCTCTTTTTATTAACATTTTCAGGTGAAGGAGCAGATGATCTCTCCTGAGACTTCACGTTTTCCTTTATGAACGGAGCCAGTGCAGTCTGTCTGGGAGTCAGCTTCATTTGAACGACGTTGGACGTGGAAATCCGCGTGGGTCGTTTGAAGCCCGTGTGAGCATCGCTATCCAGATCATCTCCGGAGGTTTCTGACAAAGGAAAAGTATTGCTTCTTCTGCCTGCAAAGTGCAATCGTAAGCTTTGTGCCATTTGTTCTCATTTCCAAACATGTTAAGGGCTGAAAGTCATAACAAAGATCTCTGTCGGTAGACAGGCTAGAAGCAGCTGCACTGCGTCGAAAGAAAAAATCATTTGTGGTGCCTGAAAGGGCTCTCAAGTAGTAGGCTTCGTCCTAAGTAAAACATTAGATACCAGATATCACGGAAAGAAAAAGACGACCCATTCCTGAGACTGACGCTTCCAAAATGTCTTGAATTGCTTGTAGTCAAAATGCCTTCAGTTACAAAGCACTTGATTTCCAGCGACCTTTCAGCTGAGCTCAGCTGCAGCAAGCACACTGCCTCGCACACTGCCAACCTTGTTTCAATTATACCTTCTCCAATTTGCATGAATGAGTAACACAAGAACAACAATCTTCTAGCATTTCCAGTTGAAACAGTATTTTTTTTCACTCCAGCTCTATTAAATGAACATTTAACTACGGGAATCACAGTGCCTATACTTTCTCCAGCGCAGTCTGACCACTAATATTTTTACCCATAGGGATAGAATTACAGGAAGTTGGTAGGAATGAAACCCCATGTAATTGAGTATCAAATCGAGGATTGAATTTCCAAATAGTAGCCATACTAGGAATCTAGTCAAGTTAGTTAATGTAGAAAGGAATAGAGACTGTTACGTTTTTTAAGATAAGTTCCGACAGTTATGCAATTTGGAAATACCAAAACTGTGGTGTGCATTTAAAATTTAGCATGAGATCAAACAGATAAATATTTTAGCTTCCAAAACACTTCTTATACAAAGTGAAAGCTGAAGGGTAGAAATACAGAATTTGCCTAGTAATACTATTGCAAAAATTGAGCATACGGCTGAGAGGAAAAAAAAAGTTTAAGAGAAGCTGTCACCAAGCATTTCTCCTATAATTTTGGGGCCGATTCCAGCCAAGTAGTACAGTCTTTAAATGATGCCATTTATATTTTGACTATTAAAACTCTGCCAAGAAATAGCATAAGCAAACATTCCATTAAAAATATATGCAGATTAGACAGAAAAACTATGCCCCAATATAGTTTGAGCACACAAGATATTTTATCCCACTGTCTCTGCAATTTACTCACTTAAGAGAGCGTTTTGGTAAGTAAAGACGTCTAAAAAGAATGTAGCACATCAAATAAACATATCTCAATGCCAATTCTGTTCTGAAAAACTCTGAGAACTCTTTGCTGGCCCCTACTGGTGCACTGGAACAATCCATGTAGCTGTTTGATATCTATAAAGAAATACACACCATGCTGCCTATTTCTTTATATAAACAAAGTACATACTTGTTTACATTTTTGAGTACTAGCTCTGCCCCTGCGGTGGAATTACTACTGCTGATAAAGCACTCATAGTAGAGAACAGTAGACTGTTTGTCCTCTGAGGGGTTGTGATTTTGTACATATATTTTTTTCTGCTTTGTATTTATTTAACCTTTACTTTATTTTCAGTTTACTAGGTAATAAAAGTTTAATATTTTAATTTCTGTCCCAAATGTCATAGACCAAGGCTGGTACCCTATTTGAAAGAAACAAATTTATTTTTAAATAATACTCTAGGGTATATTTAAACCCCTTACCTGAATTTTATAGCTGGAACTCCAGTAATAAAGATATACTGGCTCATTCATAGGAAAGTAAAAAGTAAAATAGTTCAGTTGTTTACACCACATGGTACTACACCCAAGTTGTATTTTTCTAAGTAAGGTTTTTTTTCTCTCTAAGTAAAAGCAAATATGTAAAATATATACTTGCACTTTGTTTAAAAAAGAAAACTCCATAAGACAGATCTGTTCTCAGTCACAATTTTCTAAACAGTTTTTTAAATCAATTAAGGCAGGGAAAAATAAAAACATGAAATTAATTAAATTATATTTCTGACCAGAATGAAACAGTACTGTTTTAGAATGTACACAATAAATTATAAATTCAGTAATAAAATTATTATGTTCTTGGTTTTATATAATCTACTGCCTTTATAATTTTACAGATTCAGTACATATTCCCTTACCTTTTATTTATAGAAGGAAAGTTGTAATCTTTTCACTTTGCCTTCACATGACTTCAGCTTTCCTTCTTGAATTAAGTTAGGAATCTGATAATTCAAAGAATGGATCACTTCTAACAGAGATCTAATCAGTGAGCTCTAACTGCTCATGCCTGTGACTTAAAACTTCCAGGTCATAAGCAAAGAAAGCTCCCTAGGTTGTTCATATAAAATAATGAACCTCAAGTATTTGGCCAGATAAATGTTTTCTCTTTGGTAAGCTTCACTATAAACAACGGTTTCATGTCCCCTAACTAGATTTTAAGCTTCCAGAAGTGTGAGGACCATAACTAAACATTTCTTCTGAGCTCATGCTGGGCACAAAGTAAGCATGAAGTAACTAACACCAGAGAGGCGGCTGGACAGATGGATGAATGGTCACTGCAGTAACTCTGGCTGTCTAATGCTTTATGTGTGTGTGCGTGTGTGTGTGTGTGTGTGTACACACACACACACGCACACGCGCACACACACACTAGCGGCCTGGTGCACGACATTAATGCATGGGTAGGGTCTCTAGGCCTGGCTGGTGATCAGGGCCAATCGGGGCCTTCCTTCCCCCAGCTGCCCCCAGGGCCTTCCTTCATTCTGCACCGCACCCTGGTTGTCAGTGCACATCATTGCAAGCAGTCAAACTCCAGGTTGGTCGAACTCCGAAGGGAATAATTTGCATATTAGCCTTTTATTATATAGGATTTTTTAAAGCTGATCCAGCTATTACTCTAAAGAAATAGAAAAAGCACTACAGCCAACATGAAGAAATGATCCTTGAAAATTTTGCAGAGGCCCTGGCCAGGTGACTCAGTTGGTTGATTGTCCATCCCATGAACTAGAGGTCGCCAGTTGGATTCACTGTCAGGGCACATGCCCAGTAGGGAGCATGCAGGAGGCAGCCAATCATTGATGTTTCTATCTCTCTCTCCCTCTCCCTTCCTCTCTGAAATCAATAAAAATTGTGTTTGTGCTCTCCAATGTACATTTTTAAAGAAAATTTGCTAGGAAAGAATACATTTTTAATTTAGTTCTGAATGCTACAGGAGAATAAAGAGAAAATGACATTTACAGTGGAATAGACCAATTTTTGCTATAATAAGCCTGTTACTCCACAAATGGCTATAGTTTGTATAACATCTCAGGTAATCTGTACATTTCAGTTTCCTGCTGGAACTAGCAAACAATCAGAGGATTAGAATGACACATACTAGCCTGTTCTAATTATTTCTTGCTCCTTTTTCCTAGTAAAGTGAGCTTGAGGAAAGCTGTGTTTCTAAGGCACAGTGGAGTATGTAGCACAGTAGACACCTTAATAGTATACCTTAGTTAATATAAAAAAATATGGTATCAGAGAGGCATTGATGAGTGAGTCCATGAATGTTAAATAACTATATTTGAATCATGGTGAAAAATTTTCTGAGTGCTTTGATAGCCACTGTCTAATTTTATCATCACAATATATTTATCAGATAGGTAGGCAAATATTGTTATCACCATTTTTTTTTAAACATGAGAAAATATTTTCAGAAGGATTGAATGATTTGTCTAGGGTACAAGCTCATGTGCCAAATCACAGTAGGACAGCTTGGTTTGGAAATCTGTACTATCCCAATCAATGTGTTCTTCTGTCTTTGTTTTCAGCTTTAAAGGTTTAAAAAAATTTCATATATCATGTTTACAACTCCAGAAATATCCCACTGTTAATTTCAGAGACCATGCTTTTTTTTTCTTTTGACACATCATGATTCCCTGTGAAGGACTCTATCCATATTAAACACTCAAGGAGTTTAATGCACCGATCAGAGTATGAGAATGTCAATTCTGGCAATGAAGAAAGTCATGCCAAACTGAAGTTACTGGCAAAAAGAGCCTAGACAACTAGGGTGAAAAGCACAAACATGAGCTATCCCTCCTTGTGGACAATGCAAATAACTCACATAAAGAATGTACCCAAGCATCAGGGAGAAAATTCACATCAGTGTCAATAACAACAGAAAAAATAACACAGTAATACCGCAACCCAGCAAGTCAACCCTAAATGTGAATTTTAGAGATATGTTTAGGAAACATAGCAAGAATTTTTATCCATTGGTAATAGCAAAAAAAACTCAAAAACAAAACAAAACCACAAAACAAAACTGAAACAACACTAACACTTAAGGTGGATAAAGGCATAAATTCAGGTATTATAGGATTATCAGATTAAGGAAAATGTATTATGGATCAATCTGACAAATATAACATTAACCAAAAAGCATGCCATGGAGGAATATATATACAGAGTGATACTGTTTGAATAAATTCAAAAATATGCAAAAGGAAACTATGTTTTTTTAGGGATACATATATGCATGATAAAAATATTTAAAGCAAAAAATGATAAACACAATATTCAAGGTGCCATACTACTTGTGGGGGAAGAAAAGGAGATGCTACTGGGAAGGGACACAGGGGAGTTTGAAGATTTTATAATGTTTCAGTTCTTAAGTTGGGTAATTCAGTGAACAGATATTTGTCTTATTATTTAAAATAAAAATTATGTTATATATACTTTTTGTATGTATATTCACAATTAAAAACCGCCAATACTAAATTTCACCTGGTCCTATCTAAAAGAAAAACAGATTTGTAGAGACAGAAGGAAAAAACAATAAACATTCGCTATTCTTAGAAAAAGCAAAAATATAAACAGAAAACAAAAAGCTCTGCAATGGCCCTAGCCAGTTTGGCTTATGGACAGAATGTCAGTCCTCAGACCAAAAAGTCTCGGGTTTGATTTCTGGTCAAGGGCACCAACCTCAGTTGCAGGTTCGACCCCTGGCCCTGGTAGGAGCACATGTGGGAGGCAACCAGTCAGTGTGTCTCTCTCACACTGATGTTTTCTCTCTCTCTCTCTCTCTCTCTCTCACTCTCTCTCTCTCTCTCCCTCCTCTCCCCCCCGCCACTCTCTCTCTAAAAATCAATTGAAACAAATATCCTTGGGTAAAGATTTTTTTTAAAAAAAGCTCTGCAACTGACCATATTCATAACCAAATCATCTACATCTGCCACTCAGCCTTAAAATATCAGACTGCCAGTCAGTGATGAAATCCATTTTGGCAGCAAAACAGGACAACTGGATATTACAGGGCTAATTAATAGATTGTGTTTGAAATATCTTCAGTTACTAGTGTAGTTACAATTTATTTAAGGAAAAAACATATTATGTAGTCTAATACTAAAAGCAGATTCTTTAAAAAAAAATCCAGTGTCTTTGTTACCTAAAACATGAATAAAACCGTTTAACTATTTTTTGGTGCTTCTGTTTAATCACAGATAAGCTTTGAACACATGACACTGTTCTTGTACTTTCATATTCAAATCTTACAGGTTTAACGTGTAAATGTAAGATTTCAGAGTAAGAG